AATTTATCCATTTATGTAATAAAATATTTAACATAAAAAAAAAAAAAAAAAGAGGAATGTTCTGGATGAAAACTCTGTAACAACCAATGAAGAACAATCATATTTCACGTCCTTTGATAAACTCAATTAACATATGCAAGTGACAAAACACCTTCAAATATAGCCGGAGAAAGCGATATTGCGTAAAAAATGTTGTCGACTCTTGAAAATATTTGAAATATCCAGTTTGATGCTGGTGTTTGTTTCTCTCTCCAAATTTTATTGTTTCTATTGCTATCACTTCCGAGCGATTAATTGCTCCTAACTTCCGCTTCTTTTTTCTCTTTGTGTCTTTTTTACACAGCTATATTGAAAGTCATAATTAACCATGGTGTAAAGAAAGTTTTTTCCTCTTCATTATCGGCCTAGGGGAATGACAGTTAGCTGAAGATACTGCTTATTTTATCTCTCAAAAAACTGACAAGAGAGAGTTTCCTCATCATATCTTCAAACAAAAATGTATCCGGCCGATGTCCTCCTGTTTGCTAAGGGAATGAAATTTTAGTGCTAAGTTAAAGAAACAGCTACAAAGAAAACGAAAATTTAGAATTATATCGATACTGAAATCTCCCTAGGGGTAGAACCCAGACCAAAACAATTCTAGAACTGCTATGCTCCCCTCTTTGGGTGCGCTTCAACAACTTGGATCGGCAATTCCTTTCTCAGCGGTCACAAATAAAAGTAATGTATCCACAAGCTGTTCACAGTTTCCTTCGATTTCCCCAATGAGAGATGAACAACAGGCAGGGAAATAGAGAGGTTACCATGTTCACAGTTTTCTTTAAAACTTACGGTCGAAGAGAAGGGTCTCCTCTGTTCACCCTGGTATGAAAAATATTTGAGGTGAAGTTTCCATATTTTGTCCGTGAACTGACTAAATATATCATGTAAATTGAAGAGAGAATTCTGTTAGTTTTATCTGTGAAATTTACACCGTCGATCGCTGTACAGACAAATTGTGACTTTAAAGAGGACATATATCATTGTAGCTCTAGTTTCGGTTCGATCCAGTATCGCTGATTTATGCTACAATTTAGTTTACCGTCTAACACTTTGGTGCGAACATATAGGAATACCATTCTGTCTAGTTATTTCTATCGCCTCGTGGTCAAATGTTGTCGACTCGTGAAACTATTCATTATGAAGGGTCGCTTTATATCTATACATTTTAAAGTTTGTGTATGCTTAAGTTTCATTCAACTCTTTTGATTCTATCACTTCAGAGCGATTAACTGTTCCGAGCTAAGATTTTTTTTTCCTTTAACTCGTTTTACAAAGCTTTTTTCGGAATCCAGAGTTTACCGCAATATAGGAATAATTTTTCCATAAATAGCCCATAAATAGCCCAAAAGAGTGGCAGTATATCTAATTCTACTGCTTATACTGTCCCTCAAAAACTAACAAAAGAGAGTTTCCTCTTTCGATCGCCAAAGAAAAATATAGCCGATGCCTTTGTATTTGCCAAGATAATTAACTTTTTAGTGCAAATATGAATACAAATTAAACTAACCGACTGAATAAACAACTGGCTGTGACAAAGATGTTCTTGTTTAGTTATAAAGTTGAAGTCGCTATACTGACCTATCAAAGAGGATTAGTCGAAGTTTTCTTCAAGAAAACTCATATAAAATGTGATGGTTGTAAATCACCCTTGTACTGTCAGATGGCTATTGGATATCTTTGCATGTGCGTAACAATAGTGGGTTGAAAATGAAAATGAGTAAAAATGGTAAAAAGTGACATCTAACGAAAAGAAAAGAAATATTTTGGCACCGGATGAAACTCTGGTTTCAAAATGAGGTAAGTCCTTGGGCGTAGCCGTTGCAATACAGGATTTCTCACCCTCCTTAATTTCAGTGGCACCCTAAAACCGCCTGTTTCCTCCAAAATCCGCCCGTTACGCACTCTTAGTCAATAATTTCTGGATCGCTAACGTTATCGGGCGGCTCAGTACCTTGTATAACTATATAGCTGGCAGCGCCCGTGAAGATGAAGCGAATCCTATGTTCTGATTGACCCATCTCGCCCGCTCTGGATTGCCCATTTTGATCCAGCGCAAGAGACAAAAGTGTGTGAGGCGGACTTACGAAGTTCGTAACTTCTGGACAATATCGGCGACGAAATCACAAAAAGCGGCAGGGGGCAGTCAAAACAAAGAAAAAATTAAACGAGCCTCTTAGGTACTGAAATTTCACTTTACAAATCGAGATAGAAAACGCTAATTGCGGCCCACACTTGATTGGCTAGTAGTTAAGCTGCAGTCGCTACTCGGAATAATCAGAGAGAATTTAACAGAAAATCTCCGGAAATAAAAGAACTCCTATAGTAGAATAAAAAAGTTGCTACATCTTTTAAGCAATGACATCACTCGTTTCGCCTGCCTTACA